TTTTTTTTTTTTTTTTTTTTTTTTCCTTCCCCTTCATTTGTTGCTGCCTTTTAAAGATAGCAAAACTACCTTAAACTGCTGCCTTTTAAGCCTTAAATTAAATTAAATTTTTTTTATTAAAAAGCTCGCAAGCTTGCGGGCCGGCTCGGGCAAAGCCTGTGTCCCCAAAATGGGGCTCGGTAAACCGAGTCGACGAGTCCGATTGTCATCCTTACGTGACAATGAACTATTGCAAATAATACTATTCTTCTTATAAAGCCCTTGTTTGGCCCCATTTTCTAAAAATGAAAATGAGTAAAATAGTATTTTTTTTGAAATATGAGTGGTTGTGATTGAAAATAAAAGAGAAAAAAATAAAATGTAATGTAATGAAATTTAATGGGGTCAAATCGTAGGCAAAAGTTTATCTAACCGAATAAGTACGTTCAATAAATTTTCACTCTTTACAGGTTCAATTTTTTATTCTAGTGATTGATTGATTAAATTTTTTCACTTGTTCAATAATTGCGTATTTTTTGAAATTAGATATTAGTTTGAAATTTCTTTTGAGGACTTCTTTGAAAACATTTACAAAAGTCAATACCACGACGAGAAAGTTAATATCACTTGCTGTCACCCACATGTTCCTAACTGACGATTTCCATTTGCTGCAAATACTGTAAATAACACATCGATATCTTAACTCCAAATTATAACCGTTGATCGAAGATCAAGCGTTGCTGATGTGAGAAGCACACGTACACAAGGATACACAGTTTGACTTTTCCCAGTTCGAAAATCCGAAAACCAGAGGCGCTTTGCGCACATAAACTAGGAGCAAAAATCAGACACTCAAAAGAACCCAAAATTCATCATCATCTAGCACAAAAATTCAAGATTCCATTTTCCACTTTCACTCTCTCTCTATATGTTTTTACAGATCGATGGTAAGTGATTATGTACATGTAAGAATGAATTGTTGGCGTCTGTTTTGAAGTTCGGTCTTAGTTGCAACTGAAGTTTCTGCGACTCGATTTCTGGATTTTTTAAGCGTTGAAGTTGGTGAAATTCTGTATTTGGCGGTTTTCGATGGTTAAAGTGAGTGTGCGAAATTAAGGGTTTTTGATTTTTTGGATCTGGTGTGAACGTGGGTTTTGAATGTCAACCTTGCTTGATTTTGCACTTGGGTCCTGATTGAAGTGATAACCATCTGGGTTTTCAAGTTCATATATTTATTGCCTTTTTTTTTTTTTGAATATATGTTTTTTTCCTTTTTAATTTATGTAGGAATAACTTAGGAGGAGAAGAAGGGTTTGGTTATAGTTATAGAATAAAGATTGTTCTAGTAGAGAAAGGAGATGTTCTATTCGCAGTTTATATTGGCAAAAAAGGGGCCGCTGGGGACCATATGGATAGCAGCGCATTTGGAGCGGAAGCTGCGCAAGAATCAGGTTGCTGATACAGATATTGGAGTCTCTGTAGGTAAAATTTTAATTATCCTCTTTGTAAATGTGGCAAGATAGTTCTTCTTGTATGTTTAGCCCCTGTTTGAGCCTTTTTTGGGCCAAAATGCATTTTGGAATAGTATTTTATCAGAGAATGTGTGGTTAAAAATAAGTAAAAGTTTTGGATTTACTTGAAAAATTATTTAATGGGAGAATGTTTAGATGAAAACGAGTTCTGGATAAATGAGTTTTTGAAAAAATGGGGGCAAACATAGGCTTAATAATGTCATTATTTACTTTCAGTTGGTCTTTCTTGAAGTAATACAACCTCTAAAATTTAATCCACTTGTTGTAAAAAGAACTGAAGAAATGAAAAAGTTAATGCAGCTCATGAGTAATGTGAATAAAGAACGAATGTTTAAGCGATATTTGGTGGATTCAAATTGGTGTTCAGAATCAGTTTCTAAATGAACATATATAATGAGGTTTAGATGGAAATTTTTGTTCCAAATTCAAGGTTACATTTGCCATGTCACCAAATGTCTTGTTAATTTTGGTAGATTACAATGTTCTATGTCAATATCTCTCTGCTTGACAATTCTTGCATAGTAGTTATTTACTTGCAATTCTCTGATGAATCTTTTCATTCAGATGCTTTTTTAAAATATCAATAAGCATAAATGCCTGGTTATTTATACATGTAGAAAAGCCACAGAGTCACATTGTGGTGTGAGGCTTATTTTGAGAACAAATGATACCTATGGCGAAAAGTGTCAGTTTGAATTAGTTCAAGGCAGTTCCAATACTCCAGATGTTGGAAGTTCCATAACTCCAACTTTTGAACACTACGAATTGTTCCTGTTGTGCTTGGGATTAAACAAATTACCAAGGAACGAAATTGGAGGCCCTAGTTATTAGTATTATTATTTTATTATTTTGGGGTGGTATGGTGTGGTTACAATGATAGGGTGGGGTGGTATGGTTACAATGATAGGGTGGGGTTCATTTGAATAAGTAACAATATTAGGATTATTCAGGTGAAATGCAAACCAGAATTAGCTAATTTTTTGTGGACCTTAGCAATTATCATTTATTAAATCATACTTTTTAGGTCTGTAAACACCAAATAGTTGGTTCTATCATTCTACTAGAATGTTCGACTCGTTGGCTTTTTTTTTTTTTTTTTTTTTTTTTTTTTTTTTTTTTTGTAGGAAAAGGAAAATTGCGAGAAAATAATTTATTATTATTTTTATTTTTTGTGACCATGGGTGATTGGATCAGCTCACACATACCTCAACTAATGTCACGGGCCGCTAAAGTTTATAGCCGGGTACTCACCTTAATGGCTCTAAGGGGACTTGAATTGATGACTATTGGGGAGCAAACCCAAAGCGTGACCACTAAAAAATAATTGTTGCTGTACAACCTTGTCTATAAGTTGATCCACAAACTTTACTGGGGACCAACCCCTTATATTAAACTTGTAAATGAAAGAATTATATCTCTGTGATATCTAGGACACCATAATTCATTTTAACTTTAGGACTGGAATTTGAGTATTTTAATAAAAAAATATACTGCTGAGTCTTTAATTGTTGTCTAGCCATGTAACTGAATCTCAGTAAAAACCTTTTAAGTATCTATACCAAGTTAAGATATGTGAATTTTTCAAGAAAATGCTCTGAATCTAGAAATCATGAAAATTATTAATGTAGTTCATATTTATACAGTGGCACATGAATTAGTGGCATGGACTAGATGGGTTTTCTTGCATAACTCAAGCAATTATCTCCTACTTTTCAGAACACCTATGAATTTGATATTCACGGATATGATATTCCATATATCTTTTGACATGGTCAACGTAACCTATGAGGTTTTTGATATTCCATATATTTCATGAATTTTTCTCCTTTGTCTATAGAGCAGTCTTAAGAGTCTTGATAAATTGAAACAAACTGCAAAGTTCATTATTAGAACTAGACAAATCACATCCGTGTGTGTATTGCAATTGTAGGATGATAACAAAAGGAAGCAAAGAATGGACCTGCGATTGATAAAAGGGGCAAAAATGAATCAATTTTCAATAATTAGTTCACTAAAGAATAATAACAAAGCTGTCTTTGCGCCACAGAGCTAAAAAGGGAAACAAAAATATGCTTAATTAATTCAAATTTGAATCACTTATAGTCTCTACTTATGACTAATCATCATGCTCCATTCTGTGATGTGGAACTGAAATCATTTTTGGTTCTCTCACTTTCTGCTTGGTTCATATTCAATTGTTGTAACAATCTCATTTTGGCATTTGGTTAATTTTGTTGTGAGCTTTCCTTACGGAAATTATTTTCTTAGCTCTTTGGCATTTAATTAGTTTTTAATGAAGTGTATTTCTCTCAGTCAGTATAAGCTTCTTATCTTTGCAGACTCAATTCTTTTCCCTGATGTACCAATTGCACTTCGGTTGTCTAGCCATCTTCTGCTTGGAGTGGTGAGGATATATTCTCGAAAGGTGAACTACCTGTTTGATGATTGCAGCGAGGCTTTGCTGAAGGTCAAGCAAGCTTTTCGCTCTGCTGCTGTGGATTTACCTCCTGAAGAATCGAAGGCGCCATATCACTCCATCACTTTACCAGAAACATTTGATCTTGATGATTTTGAGCTGCCAGATAATGATATATTTCAGGGGTTGGTTTAAAATATCTAATTCACGTTTCCTGAGAAACCTATGTTATCTTTATACTGCATATGAGTTTACCCGCTTTTTCTAGTGCATCACAAATTTGTATAGCTGCTAAATCATCATGGTTTTTAAGTTCTCTTAGCACTGCACTGATTGGATTTTTGGTCTAGTAATTGCCAAACTTGTACATGTTCAATCATACTCAAAGGTCCATTTGTTGACTTGATAAGGTTTGGGGTTTAATGGTTTATTTACATTGGCAAAATCCCTTTGGTTATTAATAGACTAGGAAAGGGGAAAAGAATAACTGAAAGAAAGGAAATCAATTAGTTATTCATTAGATCTTGACTTTCTTGCGACTGAAATAGCTCGAATGATTAGACATTTAAATACTTGTATTTGAATCGGCTTGCATGACGGTCATGACCCCGTGTTTTTAATAGGATTCTTGGAAGACATTATGTAATATGAAGACACTTAACTACTTGTATTTGAATCTGCTCGCATGACGGTCATCGACTCCCTTGTTTTTACTAGGATTCTCGGAAGACATTAAGTAATATTTTTTTTTTTTTGTCGAGCATGGGTATTATATTCTATCCCGTCTAACATTTACACACTGATTGCAAATTGTGCAGTAACTACGTTGATCATCATATTAGTTCAAGGGAGCAAATTACTCTTCAGGATACCATGGATGGTATTGGTTACTCCTCATCAAAGTTTGGACTGGATGGTTGGTATTCTTTGTGCTTGTTTTGAACGAGCTCCTAATGTGTTGCATTTTCAAACCAACCCCATCTCTTCCCCGAGTGTTCACCCTTCCCCGATCCAGCTAAAAGAAAAATGAACAAGAGTTACATCAACCCAAATATGAAGAGGAAAATATTTTTAGACTTTAAATCATCAAAGTAATGCTTGTACCTACCTCTTCTTCAGTATTTTTCCTAATTGTTGCTCTGGTTGTTTGTAGAGAGGTTTGGTGATGGTGATGCTTCTGGATTGGACCTTGAGGAGGTATATATATTTACACTCTTGATGCTGTAACATTGTTCTGCTTTTTTTGAATTTTATGCTGTTTTATAATGTTTGATTTTATCATGCTGATGTTGTTGTGGAGTATCTCTCCCATGCATGTTGGAACTAAAGTGTTTAGACCAAGTATAGTCGGTTAAAATTGATTATTGGTAACATTCAATTTTGAATTACTTTGATGCTGAAAATTAAATTTATTTCTATCATTTTTACTGGTAAGGATATTTATAATTTTCCATGAAAATGTTCTCTATTGCAATCCACCCCGATAAAATATAAAAGGTGAAATCACTTGGTGTTCTGGTTGCCCTACATCTGGCATAAAACTTGAAAGGACACCTGATGTATATCCATTTCTTCAGAAGTTGAGAGTCAGGTTTATGCAGGTCAATGTGGAGCAAGAACAGCTTGAGCTATTTATAAATTTGATACAAATTAATAGTTGACACGTATTGGATTCAATGCTCACCCCCTGGACATACCATATTTTATTAAATTATTCTTTTCTGGTTGCCCTACATCTGGCATAATACTTGAAAGGACACCTGATGTATATCCATTTCTTCAGAAGTTGAGAGTCTTCGACCATGCATGCGTTTTTTAGTTCTAATATGTATTCTTCTTATAAATGAACTATATTAAAATGCTTTCCACGTTGTCAGGTTTATGCAGGTCAATGTGGAGCAAGAACAGCTTGAGCTATTTATAAATTTGATACAAATTAATAGTTGACACGCATTGGATTCAATGCTCACCCCCTGGACATACCATATTTTATTAAATTATTCTTTTCAAGCATGAAACCCTTACCAGATTACAACATACATGGAGAGTATTAGGACACATTCCATCTTTTACTGGAGGAAACTAAAATTTTCTGAAAATATTTTCCATTAGAATAGCTCCAAAGGATAATGTTGAAATCAGCAAAGTATATGCCTGGGGCATGGAATTTAGATATAAAAATAACTGTAGAACACAAATACTCTAAAATGCTTTGTCCTAATTAGATAGAACTTAAATACACACTTCTTTTCATCCAAACTGCTGTCCTCTCTTTTGATTTTCAATTGTCCAAAAATGAATTCCAAAGGTTTATATCCTGTAACTTCTGTAGTTATTTGAAAAAAGGTTGTCGTTTTCATGATAGTGATGATTCTTCAGAGTTTTAAGGGTCATCATGACAATGTATAGCTACCTATCGATGCATGTAGACTCTAAAGTAGTGATGAGAATAATGTTATCGATTATCGACGGGAAATTAAGATGGAAGTTCACAAAGTTCTCTCCATAAATTTTGACATTGGATCTTTTCTTATCGTACAGTATGAGTTAAGTCATTAAATTAGGTTTGCGTTCTGTGTATGTGATGTGCTAACATTTGTCTCTGTGTTGTTGGGTTTAACTCATTGTTTTATATAGTGTTATTTTCATGGATGTTGGGACATAGGTCTCTATAGTAGTGTGATATTACCCAGCCTGCTGCATAAAATAGTATTCTTATCTGCGTACAGATTTACGGAAGCATCTGTTCTTACTTGATTCCCTTTTCATTGATCAATTGCATACAGGAATTATTTTTGGACAACATTGGCACTTCAGGACAGGCCGAGAGGTTGGCTTACATAAATTTTCATGGAACTGCTAAATGATTCCTTTTTCTTCCAATACTTTTGTACCTTGAGATTTAATTGCTGTAGGCTGCAGCAGCTGTATTGAAATGCCATTCTATTTCTGTCACTTGATTCCTGATAGTTATTATGTGGGCCATTAATATTCACACATTGAATCCTTCACACTTCTGAACTTTTAGATAAGAAGAGGAAAAATGAACTGTTTTTGTATGGTCTACTTTACTGTTTTTGATATATGGGAGTCATGTAGAAGGTTTCTCGTTTCTTTCTGACTAGAGGTGCTTGGTAAGCATCAAGCTATTAAATTATCTGCCGCAGACTGTCAGACGTATGCTCATTTAAGCTGAAATTAGAGGGATGATAAATCAACTAATTTGTGATATATTCTTTTTTGGTCTTTCTTGCCCACATCAATAATTGCCTCTGATAACGTGTGTCTGATCTGTGTTATCTACTAAGTATACTTCACTAGTAAATGCCACTCTTTTAGTTACAGTTTTATTCTGTCTTTCTGAAGCATCTGAGAGCCTGTTTGACAACCATTTATTTATGGACCTTACTACATGTACATCAAGGCTTACATAAGGGATTACGTAATGTCCATATGGCTCTCTACCATTTGTTAATTTAAAACATAGTCAATTTTTTCATTCAATCTTTTCCCACCACATCATTTCGGTAACCTCCTATGTACCTTTTTTATGTACAAGTAGCAAAATCTTTTATTTATTTTATAGTTTGCTACAGGACCATTTTCAATTAACCATTCGCACAATAAAATATTTTACACATATACCAAGAACTTTTCTCTACTTTTTAACCACACATTATCCTAGAAATCACTATTCAAAACTCTTTTTCCTACAATAGTGGTTGTCAAACACACTCTGAGTCTCTTAGTCTCTTGATGGTTGATTCTGTTGATCAGTCTATTAAATATCTGAACTGGATTGATCTCTAACACTGCTTTTCTCCGATTCCAGTGGTGATCCTCAGGCCTCTGTCCAGCCGATGACTCCTCTCAAGCTAGATGAGCATCCTCAAGAAAGGACAAATTCAGAAACCATGGTAGCTACTTGGAGCTCTAAAATTATGTTTTCAGGCTTTAATCTACATATCACTTGATTTACATTATATGTTGTTAAGATGTATCTTTGGCATTGCTTGTTTTGTTAGTTCGATTCACAATACCACAAGTGGATATGTCCACCGGAAACTTAGATTTCTATCTAGTGAAGATAATTTTTCCACGTGCAGGTTGATGTTGTTGAAGATGCTGATGTCATGGACTATGCTCACGCACCTTGTACTCCTGGATTGGTGGAAGAGCTTAACTTGTCCAATGTCCAAGAGGCTTCAACATGTGATGATCATCTGGAAGGGGAATATCATTTAACGGAATCTACTGTGAAAGAAAATGCTAAAAATGTTACTTCTGAGGGTAAACAAGAGGTAGAGTGGTTGTCACGAGATGATGTAAATTCTAATGCTAATCCTTGGATGCTGCCTGATGAGGATGGGTACCATTCAGGTGGCCTGGAGATTGATAAAAGAAAGTTGCAGGGAGAATCTCCTTTTATTAAAGCTACTTTGGAGCATGTGAATTTCGCCAAACCTCCTTCATCAATATCCGGACCATCTTCTGATTTATCTAATCAAGTAGAAGCTGTAACAGCATCAGAATTAGATGATAAGATCCCTGAGGCTTCTATTGTTCCTTCCAGGGAAGATTTGCTGAATGAAGTTGTCAACAACGATAAGACAAACTTTCCCTCAGCAAATGAGCCCTGTGATGATCCCCAAGGTCCCAGAGAAATTGTCTTGGACAGTGATCAAAATAATTCTGGTTTGACTGGCACTTGCCAGCAAGTCTGCGAATCTGTAACATTGACAGATCAAGCATTACTTGGGGTAGAAGGTCCTGTTAGTGTGGCAAGTGCAGGTGAGCTGGATAAACCTTTCCGTGATGCATCAGAAGTAGGGGCTAAAATCCAAGGTTCTTGCTCTGAGAATCCTGAAACTCTGGCATATCAGGAACCTATACATTCAAACTTGTTGAACCCTGATGTTCATGAAAACATGGCAGCTACTGAAACTCAATTTCTCAGGCCATGCAGTTCCAACCCAGAGCAACCTCACGTACCAAATTTTGTACATGACATGTCAACGAATCCGGACTTCCAGTCTGATACTGCTACCTTGGGTTCATTAGAAATTTCTGGACGAGAGGAGACTGTTACGCTAGGTTTGTCTGCCAAGCTAAATACTTGCTAACATAATGTAATGTGCAAATTCTAAAAGATTCTAATTAATTTTCTTAAGGACATTTTGCCCCCGTTTGAGCCCAATTTTTAACAAAAATGAGCTTTAGTACCAAATTTTGTACATGACATGTCAACGAATCCGGACTTCCAGTCTGATACTGCTACCTTGGGTTCATTAGAAATTTCTGGAGGAGAGGAGACTGTTACGCTAGGTTTGTCTGTCAAGCTAAATACTTGCTAACATAATGTAATGTGCAAATTCTAAAAGATTCTAATTAATTTTCTTAAGGACATTTTGCCCCCGTTTGAGCCCAATTTTTAACAAAAATGAGCTTTGTAATAGTTATTTTTTGGAGATTGTGTGGTTAAAGAATAGAAATTTTTTTGGGTTTGTGTATATTATTTTATTGGAAGAATGTGTGGTTGTAAATGAGTTAGAGGAAAAATGTATTTTGAGATAATGGGGCTCAAACAGGGGCTTAGTCTTATCAAATTGTTCTTGGGCAATTAGTCCTATTTTGTGAGGGTAAATTGAACAAGTTCAAAAGTCTAAAAGGAGTGTTACTGTTTCCATTATTTCCCCCAGTCTTTTAAATCCAGAATCTTTTCTGTTCTAAGTTTGTCTTTAATTCCTCATTCCATCATCTAACTCTTATTTTATTTAAAATGTTGAAGAATTCTTTGTAGGGCTCAGAACTTATTAGGAAACACTTGATCAAAGAAGTTCTGTAGGAGATTAATGGCTTTTTGATCAATGCAGTAGTCCCTGGTTGTGTATTGAAAGTTTTCATTTTATCAGGTGGAGCATGCCAGATAACTGATAATTCGGAACAAATTTCAAAGGAAGACCATGTAGAAGAACTTCTTCCATGTGAAGATGCTCATTCAGCGTTAAGCAAACTGCACGGTCAAGTGGATAGTTTACATTCAGAGGATAGGCCTGTGGACAATTTAAATAATTTTGTGGAAGCTGATTTACCTGCTCCCGAGAAACTACTATCAGTAAGAGCAGGCCAAGCTGATATACACACAGACATGCTAGCAGAGGCTAGTCCAAGGGAATTAGTAGGTCCAGATGAAGAGGATGCTGGGAGCAAATTATACTCGGGCAGAAAACGTAGTTATACTGAAAACACATTGACAGAGCACGGTTTAAATTCAGTCGAATCTTCAAGGGTGGTCCGTGCCAAAAGAACTACAGAATCTGTTCCGGATGATGATGATTTGTTGTCTTCTATATTAGGTTTGTCGAACTTTCTTCTTGTTGATCTGTGAAACGTGGACACTCTTGACAAGCATCAGACATTGACATGCCTTAGGCAAGCTGGACCATTTACCTAACGCTCTATTTGGCGTCATATTATTTAAATAATTTTTAAAATTTCCAACATGCAGATGACATGTTCCCAAAATTCCCTCGGATATGTGACGTACACCACATCATCTGTCTGATACATTTTGTAATTTTGTTATGTGACGCGCGAGAGTCACGACCAACCCCATTGATAAATTTTGCAATACAAAATTAGGGAAAACCTCAATTATTAAAGCATTTTTGAGAAAGATTAAGATAATATGAGAAGAATTGGATGAAGTTCATGTTAATTTGTTTTATACCTACTGTGTATGCACATGACTTAGGATTTTTTTATTTTTATTTTTTATTATTATTATTTTTTTTAGCACTAGAAATATGAAGAACAAAGATTTCCAAGGTTCAGCCAAGGCTTAGCTCAGGACCCCACTAGTTGTCGTATTTGGTTTGGAAATTTGTTTTCATATGAGTAACCTCCCTTCTACGAGATCAAAATCAAACCTAAAAAAAAAAAAAAGGAAGGAAATTTGTTTTATGAAAACAAAATTTTCACATAAAGATATAATTTATAACTACATAGTTTTTTGAAGTATTTTGATTGGGGTGTCCTTTGAAAATTTGTGTTCACATGTTGGTTCATGTTGAGTCCGTATTCCGTATCTGCATCTGTGCTTCATAGCTTTAACTATTTTAGACATGATTCCTTGGGGGGTTCAGAAGTGAAAATATCCTTTACTTTTTATGGATGCTTTCTGATTTGTGGGAACTTTTATTGTCTCAGTTGGAAGAAGATCTTCAGTTTTGAAAGTAAAGCCATCTCCTGTTGTTTATGAGGTAACATCTATGAAACGTGCTCGTTCTGCTCCACGCACTGGTGCTGCCAAAAGAAAAGTGCTCATGGATGATACAATGGTTTTGCATGGCGAGTATGTTCCCCTCTTGTCTGCAATAGTACATTAACTTCCTCTACAAGCTTTTTATTTTAATTAGATTTCATAAGTTTGCTAGGATGCATAAAGTCTCTGTAGCACGGACACTTCAATTAGGGTTGTGTGTTATTGTTCGACACGGGTCGATATTGACACTCTTCGGACACTCTACCATAAACATTTTTCTTTTTATTATTAAAAATGTTATATATTTTTAACTCAAAGCTATTTAGTAAATACTTATATTTAAAATATTTTAACAAGAGAAATTAATAACAAATGTAAAACTAAATTTATATTATATAAATGAAGAATTTAAAAAAAATTAATCTATATGTCAACGATGTGTCAGTACTTTTTTGAAAAATCGCTTGTCGACGTATCTGACATGCATCGTATCGGACACATCGGTGCATCATAGCATGGAGCTCTCCTCATCTACTAATGTACATTATTAATAATTAACTAATGATGTGCTGCGTATGGAATGCATATTGTGCATGTAATCACTAATTAAATAGAATTAGTGATTATATTGACTTTTTTAATTATTTCCCCCTCGCCTGATTTTTTATTTCATATAGATGTGTTTGGCTCAGACATGATCTGTGCTTATTTGGCTACCATTATATATTTGACATTATTGGCTACTAAATGCATCTGACTTGGTGCATTTGCCCCCGAAGTTCCTCATTGTAGTTCAGAGCTTTCTTGTCTAGTGTTTTAGGTTTAGTGTGGTGAACTTATCTACTAGCTGGTTCATGAAGTTCATGTAACTTACCTACTCTTTCTTCTTTGAAAGTATGATACGCCAACAGCTGATGAACACTGAGGATGTTCGTCGTGTCAGAAAGAAAGCTCCCTGTACACGGCCTGAAATTTCAATGATTGAGAAACAATATTTGGAGGATGAAATTTTTCTTGAACCGATATTTTCTGGTGAGTTTAAAATTTAAATATGTGCGCTCTCGAAATGTATTTTCCTTGTGAAATTTGACTCTTGTTTATAGAAGACATTTGATCATGTGTATTAATTACCAACTGGCACATTGTCAGAGAACAACAAGAACAACAATTTAACTCCCAAACCAGCTATGCCACACCTTATTTTCTTCAAGTTATCGATTTTGTTTGAAAGATAGGCATCACATAATTTAAATATTTTATTTGTTATTAAGAAAGCTCGTTTCATGAGTGAATACATGAAAGATCCTTGAATTTCTTTTGTTTTTTATCAGAAGAGACTTTATTTCATTTTTTTGTTTGTTTATTTATTTCTGGTCTGTTTGAGGGGAATGCTTGTCCTTTTCTTGATAATTGACTATCTTGCAAGGTATATTTTTGTAACTTCATTGGACAAACTTCATTCAATGCACTCACTCTATTGAATTTGACATATTTTCTTAGGCTTGTCAATCGAATTGGCATCTTTGCACGGTCAATCATATGACTTGAGTAGAATTAGAATCTGCCAAAATGACGCTTCATTTGATACTGTGGCTGAACCCAATTTCCATAATGGCGAAAACAATGTATTCATTGAAGAAGCAGCTGAACCAAGATTAGCTTCCCAAAATGATGAAAATAGTATGAACAGGGACATAAGAAAGGAAGAAGGATCTGATGGACCCAACGGCACAGAGCAAATAGGGATGGGAGAAAACTCTAAACTTTTGGTAGATGGGAATAATGAAGTGGCTGGAGATCGTGAGATTCTGGTGAATGAGAGCTTGCTGGAGACATCCATTGCCACCAGTGTTGAAGTTAATATCTGTCAAGAGCCGATGTGTCCTACTAATGATGGTGTGGAGCCCGATGTTTCTCAGCAGGAGCTTTTGAAGGATGTAGTTGAACTAGAAACAATTGATAAATATATTAATGCGGTAAATCCTGCTGTTAATGAGGGAGTCGTGTCATCATCCATCATTGATCACACTTCAGGTGATATGGATGATGCTCCTGCTGTTATGGTTCAAACAGCTTCTTTGAATGAGACCAGTGAGACAAACTCTTCCATGAATGTGGACGCACCAGTCAATTTACCTGATCAGAAGACAGATGCACCCTTCCTTGAGTTGGATATTTCAGCGGTGGATGTGAGCAATGATAAGGCGATTGGTACAGATGAAGTCACAGTTAAGAATGGTGATATTATTGTAGTAGATGAAACAGAACCTAGCACATTGTTTAATGTCCTATCAGACTTTGCCAGACATGGTGCAGCAGTTGAACAGCTACCAGATTCCAATCATGGAGAATTGGAGTGTAATGTCGGTCCTTTTGGCGAACAGAAGACCGATAATGGTGTGTCTGGCAAACAACCAATAGTAGGCTCATATCCAGCACAAAGTAGTGCGCATTTGGATGATGGTTTCTTGAATGATGATGAAAATCCAATTCAGAAGGAAGACTATCGTTACCTCAATATGACTGATGGAGAAGTCTCTGGTTTGGACTTGCATGACCGTGGTGTAAGTTATCTTGTTTACCTCTGATGATCTTCTCTGGTTCTGGTCTAGCATTACTTAGATTTTGCTGCTTACAAATTTCTTCCATAACGTATGTGTGTGTGTGTGTGTGTTTTTTTTTTTTTTTTTTTTTTTTTTTCATTTTTTCAGTGCCTTCTCTTTCGTTTGTTAGGGGTAAAATCCCATGTCAGTTATAAGGGCTTGGGCTACACCTTTAATACGGTTGACATTTTAACATGGAACACCTCGTCTCAATATGGTAGCGATCCCTTAATGCTCAAATGAGCCTTTCAAGTCTAGAAGCTCAATTGAGCCATAATATTTCAAGATTGGTGTACACAAATGAGCTAACATATTTCAGGGACATTTTAAGAGTAAAATCCTACATTGGTTAGATATAAAAACACTAACCAACACATAAGGGCTTTTGCTGCTTCTTTGGACCTTGTAAGATGGAACCCCCCAGTCTCAATATCCTTATTTCTGTTCTGGAACAACGTTTGGTTAATGATGTGCAAATGTTATCCTTGTGTTTACCATTTGTAGTCGAATGAAATTTGATATGTGCAAGTTTTTGAACTTGATAAATGAAGTAAACAGGCATCATAAATATGAATATCTGCTGGGTCTACAAATGATAGGCTGAAGAACTTAACATAAAGAAATGGGTCATAAACTTTTGAAAACCGTACTTTTAGCTCTCTAAATAGATAGTTGAAATTCCATTCATCATAATTCCAAATGATTTAGGCAGACACGTAAAATTGGATATTTCACTGGGTCTTTGGAAGATAGGTTCTATGGCTTCAGATAGATAAATGGTTCGTAGTAAACTAAATTAAAAGTTCTAATGACATTCGATGCTTTTATTCGAAACTCTGCATCAATGATTCGAAATAATTCATACAGAACGGAACCTGCTTGGTCTCTCTCAAAATTAATAATTTTAAGAACCAAGTAATCAAACATTTACGCATCATCATTTTTTCAGCAAAATGACATTCACATGCATTCAATGGCAAACACAACGAAGACATTAACTAATACCTTGAAGGCTTAAGCTCACATAACACGGGACTTGAGCTTGTGATTCCTGGTCCCAGAATCTCTGACTTCGCCACGTGATATACACCTCATTAGCTAAGGTAAAATTTCAGCGTGTAGTATACCAGAGAGAATTATAGTATTTTCACGTCTGTATGTTTTTCTGACATTCATTACTTAACATGAATTGATATGATCATGATTGAATGTTTATAGTGATAACTAAGATAAAGCCTGAACAATAAATGAAGTTACTTGGGGCTGCTTGTTAAATCAATATATGTTTACTTCGCATAAAATTTATCCAGGTATTTCTAATTTCGATAATAAATGCAACCTATGAAGGATTATTGCAATAGGAAATTGGCTACTTTTCTTTATCTAGCACCTGATCCTAACATGCTGACTGAGACTCATTGGTCTTGCAAGAAATTCAAATTTTCATTGTGCTGTTTACTGAATAATTCTTTGTCATTACCTCGAGAACCTATTCTGGTTTCCTTTTTAGGCTGTAGAAATCTAAGAGTTCTCCGTGTATAAAACTAAAAGGATTCCCCCTCCCCCCTCGGCATTTGATTGTGGTGAGCTCTGTTATTGACTTTTTGCCTTTTGACGCAGAACTTGGATTACTCTGCCCCGGTAAATGACACAGGTTTGCTTCTATCCTACTTATATATTCGCACACGTTTCATGCTTCAATATAAGGAGAAAAATGAAAAGAAAGACTCGTTGGGAATTGTTTCGCAAGCCTTGATGTGGATAAGAAGCTGCGGATGTAATATTAGGAAGGATACTTTATAAGCTGAATGTTTTGGAAGGTCTCTGGATAATCTTCTGAGGCTTCTCCTTTTCATTCAGGCCCCCTAAATTCTTTATGGGTATTTGTTAATGCTCCGAGTTTCTGTTGAATCCTTTTGGGTCCTTAGTTTTTCTTTTGTAGAGAGTTTGCCCGTATCCTTCGGCATTTATGTTGTCTGTGACATGTTTATGTGGACCACGTAAGCTTGATTCTTCATCACCTTTGGGCTTTCAGAGTTTCTCAACGTTGATGATGAGGAAGTAGCTGAAATAGCAGATGATTATATGCCTGATGCTGAAGAGTCTCGCTTAACTGAGAACAGTGGGTGGTCTTCACGTACAAGGTTTGGTTTCTGTTGCTCAACTTTTCATAAATGAGTATATACATATCCTTCTGGTATTTAAGATATTCTTTTGGCTATTGTTTCCATGAATTAGTGCCAAACTGCGGCCTTGTGCTGCATAGCAAGAAATGAGTGGATAATGTAGCCAAATGACAATTGATTTAGTTTATTTTTATAAAAGAGATCCCCGACCTCGTCCTTCATTTCTCTGTTAGTCCCAGCTTTTATTTTAGGAATAGTAACACTGGTTGCTCTGTTTGAGTTTGAGGATTTTGGTTCGTGCTGAGTTCTGAAAATTGGAGCAGAAATGTTTCAATTGTTTGATTTGCATCATCATTCTGACAATTGTTCATCAATTAGTACATCTGTTGCTTGTTTTGTCCCAGCTATTGTTATTTCACATTTTTGTCAGGATTTTCGACCTTTCAGATGATCAGTATTTATCATCAAATTTATCATTTTCATAAATGTTTGATTTTTTATATCTTATAGGGCTGTTTCCAAGTATCTTCAAACCCTGTTTGAGAAGGAGGCAGATTGTGGACGGAAGTCACTTTCCATGGACAACATGTTAATTGGTAAAACGCGCAAGGAAGCATCAAGGATGTTTTTCGAAGCATTGGTATGTTGAAAACTCTCTTATTTATTGGTACTGTCTCATTCATCACATTATAAAAAAGACTGCACGATCATTGATGTACTTGGATTTCAAATAGTTAGTTTTTGTTGACGACTCTGAACTCCAGCAATTGGAGTAAGTGAAGTTTACATTTCTGGGAGTAAGTAAAGGGAAATTTTTTTAGTACTCTGTGTGGTATAAGTGAAGTTTAGATTTCTGGGAGTAAGTAAAGAGAATTTTTTTTAATACTTTGTGTGGTATTGATTTTATCCTTTATTTTTATTTTTATTTTTATTTTGGGCGCTGCTAATGGGAAATGCAATCAGTTTGTATTTTGGAATGTCAAGGTCATTCAAGAAAGCAATTGCATTTTGTTGAATAGGTCTGGAAAAATAAGTTAAACGATTGTTGGCAATGTAAATGAAAACTTGAGAAGAAATATAATGTTGATTGCACGTCACCACTTGAAGTGGAATTATCCTCTCTCTCAGACACGCGCGCACGCACATGCACACAAAATTTACGGATGGTATGCTTAGAAGTAAAACCATCCTGAAAATGATGGCACTTTTTTCGATTCTTAGTTTTGCATTGTCCTTTCTTCCTATGAAATGATATGATTACTAATTATCTTTGCTTCTATAAATGTTATTTTGCATAGCGCTGTTTCTTTTTCATCAAATGTTCTGACGCCAGTTCATTTTACAATAATGATGTTCAATTTTGACATGAAAACCTCGCAGGTGCTCAAGACAAGAGACTATATCCATGTAGAACAGAGAATCCCTGTTGATGACATTACCATTAAACCTCGAATGAAGCTGATGAAATCAAACTTCTAGAATACTGACACTAGAGCAGAACTTGTTTTATTTGCGTGGAGATCAGATTTCTTATTTCTAAGTAAATGCTATTGAAGTTCCTAGTCGAGATATCAGGTAGTCATAATTGTAACTGGTAGATTGTTTCTAGTTATTGTACAAATATGTTGTATAACATGCTTCTTATTTATACATGTATAGCATGGAAATACTAAACTCTATGTTGCAAATGGAGCTAATTATTCTTCTCTTCCTGCTTTCTGTAAGTTGAGATTTGCTTACTCAAAATTTCAACTTGCTACCAGAAAAGTTTTGTTTCCCCTTGTATATATATTGTGATTTGTGATTGCATGCTAGGGGTTCTTTGTGTTGATTGATGTCCCAGTTGTAATGCCTAACCCTCCAAGAGATTCAGAATGGCTTTTAATTAGTACTAGTAACATCACTTCTCCTTGGGCTTCAAAATGAATGGGCGTGCTCGAAATTACAGGCTTTATAAAACAATGTTCTAAAAGCTTACAGGGTAGTTAGGCATGGAGGTTAAGTTTCAAGTTTTACGAGACTAAGTGATGTCTAGGCGATACTTATTTTAATCATTCTAAAAATTATTTAATAATTAAAGTTATGGAAACCAAATATCTAAAATTATAAAATATTATATTTATTAAATCTTTTTTATAGTTAGTCAATTATAAAATTTTCAAGTGTTCAAAGCAAAAGCTAGACTATTTTTTATGATTTCAACCTTTAACTGGATAATTCTTGCAGGAATTTTATGTTACTTTCAGATGAAAGTATTTTCAACAAGACAATAAATTTTAAAATTATAATTACATAAAATAAATAGCATCGAAACTTAAACCTTATCAAATCTTTATCAAATAAAGTCAGTTATGACTTGACGATTATACTAATAAAAGTATTTTAAAAATTTGAAAACTGAAGTTAAATAAAAGGTTTTTGAAAAAGGAAAAAAATATATATATATAAATAAATAAAATAAATAATGCACACCTAGAGATGCCTAAGTGTTCTGCACCTTAAAAGCACTTTTTAGAACACTGTTACAGAATCACAAACAAACAAGAGCAGGCTGTTAATGGAGTGTAGACTCAAGTCTGGATTACTAGAAATTGGGCCAATCAAGTTGAAGTTAGGTCTGTGGCTCATAGATATTTTTTCTAAGTAAAATTCCATGTCACTTTAATAAGAAAATAGTGATCAACATGTAATGATTTGGATCATTCTTAACAAAATTGAATTTTTAAGGATTAAACACCTCAACTCTGATTAAAATTTCCACAATTTCAGAGTAGTCAATAATGTATTAACTGCTATTTCAAGTTCTATTAACTTCAAATCCATCAAAACCAATTACTCAAATTTGAAGGTTTATAATATATTGAGTCAAACCAACCAAACATTAGAAATCAAACTAAAATTATGACTAAGAACGAGTAAAATCTTTATAACAGTTCTTTGAATAATGCCATTTAACACAACTAGTTTAGATGGTCATGTTAGATGGGTTCAATTAAATGAATCGTATGAGACTACATTTAATTGAATTTATCATTCAATGTCTGCAGTGTCACCAATACTGGTGCTTGACACCAGTAATATTAAATAACATTACTCTAGTACCATACGACATCACAACAATAGAAAAGATACGAATAGTTGCTTCATGGCAACGAGTCTAGTCCAAAGTCATGCACTGGTATAAGGATAGATTTATATATTTTCATTCGGTTATTGAAGGGCTCAACGCAAAACTGCAGAGAGTAAACCTAACGGCTAAAAATTCATGGTGGTCAGAGAATCTATTTTTTATATATATATATATATAAAATAGATTCTCTCGCATCATATTTCTCCTTCCTTCCATTTTCTCTCTTTACATAAATGTCTTGTAACACACACAAAAATCTCTTACGCATCACACTTTGTCATTCATCATTTTACCTGCACTTTCTCTCTTTAATATATATTTTTTAATAATTGTTTTCCTCACCTCTCGCTTTCTCTCGTTCACACCTTACACTCTCTCTTTCTACAATCATATTTTCTTTTTTTAAAAATTAGGTGATTATATTTGGTGACCTCTGATAAAACTGTGATCTATAATTTAATTAAATATGTAATAACAAAATGCGTTCATTGGCGATGATTGGAGGTAGACCCAATTTGCTCGTCGACGACAGATATATGATGCTTGCGTTCTATCGGTAGAGAGAAATGGTAGAGAGAAAAAATTGGAACATAAAACGTGTAGAAAGAAATCACCTCTGAAAGAAATGGTAGAGAGAGAGAGAGATTTGTAACATAGGGTAATTATCCTTATTTAGTTTCCTATAATTTATGGATTAATTTCTAAACTTTTGATAGCTTCAAAGATATTAGGATTTATACCTTATATTTTTAAAAACGTAATTAGCACCTGATTTTTGAAAATGAATTTTAATGACATGATTAATGATAATCAAACTGAAAATACATGATTTTGCTTAATTTTCCCATTTTAGACGCCGGGGTTACCCATTCTTATGGTCCACATAAACTAGACCAAAGCGCTTGGTTTATCCTAAATGCTGTTGGAAAAATTGGGTTTTAATTAGTTGGTTTGACAAACTTTTGACCAATTAATTTAGTGGGTCTCGTTAATCGGATATAAGATTTTTTTGGCCGAATGTGTTATAGTCCATGAGTAGATTAATATGGAAAATACCAATCCCACATAAGAAAACTAGAAAAATATAAACCATCTTATATAGCTCAAGTTTGGGATTTGGGTTTGGGCTCCAAAGGGTACCAATAGTCTTTGAGGGGGAGAGAANCTGGACTTCAAAATGGTAGATTCTAAAACAGTAATGACTCAAGTCCAAGAGATACAACTTATCTTGCATGATATACATGCAGATGGCATGAAACTCTGTGAATCATTTCAGGTAGCTGCAATTATCAAAAATTACCACCAATGTGGAAAGATTTCAAGAACTACCTGAAACATAAACGCAAGGAAATGGGACTTGAAGATTTGATTGTTAGATTAAGAATTGAGGAAAACAATCGAAATGCTGAAAAGAAGTCTGGAAAGCAGCAAATGGAGGCTAAAGTCAATTTGGTGGAGCCAAATACTAGGAAGAAAAGGAAGCACCCGAATAATGGCAAGCAAAAGAGCAAGGCCAAGAAATTCAAAGGAGATTGCCATAACTGTGGTAAGCCTGGTCATATTGCAAAGGTCTGCCGGCAGAAAAAGCAAAACAAAAAGAACCAAGTGCACTTAACTAAAGAAGACATACTGTCTAACGGAGTGTCTGAACTAATGCTCTCGGCTATTGTATTTGAAGCAAACATGGTGGATAATCCGAGAGAATGGTTCGTTGATACTGGCGCTACTCGTCACGTTTCTGCTGATAAGGAGATGTTTTCATCTTATACTCCTATCAATGGACGACAACTTTTCATGGGCCACTCGGCATCATCAAAAGTTATTGGTCTAGGTAAAGTACTGCTGAAGATGACATCAGGAAAAGAAGTAACACTCATCGATGTGCTGCATGTTCCCGATATTCGCAAAAACTAGGTATTCGGAGCTCTGTTAAGCAAGAATGGGTTTAGGCTGGTATTTGAATCTGACAAGTTTGTATTCACCAAAAATGACATGTTTGTAGGCAAAGGATACTTAGCCAATGGGCTATTCAAATTGAATGTAATGCCTGTACTCTGTGATTTTGATATTAATAAAAATAAATCTTCTGCTTACTTGATTGAATCTTCTAATTTATGGCATGATAGGTTAGGACATGTAAATGTTAATACTTTACGAAGATTAGTAAGTTTAGATTTATTGTCTTCCATGTCCTTTGATCAAAATCATCGATGTGAAACATGTGTAGAGGCTAAATTAGCGAAAACACCATTTCATTCAGTTGAAAGGAACTCAAATCCTCTAGAACTAATTCACAGTGATATTTGTGATTTAAAATTTGTGCAAACTAGAGGAGGTAAAAAGTATTTTATTACTTTTATAGATGATTGCACAAGGTATTGTTATGTCTTTTTGCTAAGGAGTAAAGACGAGACTTTAGAAGCATTTAAACAGTACAAGAATGAGGTTGAGAATCAACTAAGCAAACGAATAAAAATTGTTCGTAGTGATAGAGGTGGGGAATATGGAGCACCGTTTGATGAATTTTGTTCAGATTCTGGGATTATTCATCAAACTACAGCTCCTTATTCATCTCAATCAAATGGTATTGCGGAACGCAAAAATCGTACTCTAAAAGAGATGATGAACGCTATGTTGGTTAGTTCTCGTATACCACAAAATTTGTGGGGGGAAGCAATTCTCTCAGCTAACCACATTCTAAATAAAGTACCATACAAAGGTAGGGACGAAACTCCTTATGAAATATGAAAATGTCATAAACCTTCGTACAAATACTTAAAAGTGTGGGGGTGTTTGACTAAGGTACAAATACCAAAGCCTAAACAAGTTAAAATAGGGCTTAAAACCATCGATTGCATATTCATTGAATATGCTAATAACAGTAGTGCTTATCGTTTCCTCGTACATAAGTCTGACATTCTGGATATACATGAAAATACTATCATTGAATCTAGGAATGCTGTATTTTTTGAGGACAAGTTTCCTTGTAAAGATAGGAAAGAGATAAGCCCGCAAAAATGAACTTATGATTCTGCAATTGGTAATCCTCAAAGTGATGACGCAGCAAAAGAACCAAAACATCTACATCTTTTGGTCCAGATTTTTTAACTTATATGTTAGAAAATGAACCAAGGACATTCAATGAAGCAATGTCTAGTCCAGAAACCCCATTCTGGAAAGAGGCTATCTATAGTGAAATTGATTATATTATGTAGAATCATACCTGGGAACTGGTAGATCTCCCACCTGGTAACAAACCTTTAGGTTGTAAATGGATTTTCAAAAGAAAATCAAAGATTGATAGATCAATTGATAAATACAAGGTCAGATTGGTAGCTAAATGATTCAAACAAATGGAAGGCCTTGATTTTTTCGATACATACTCACCTGTGACAAGGATAACATCAATTGGAGTATTAATTGCAATCGCAATATTGCATAATTTGGAAATCCATCAGATGGATGTCAAAACAGCTTTCTTAAATGGTGAGTTAGAAGAAAAAATTTACATGGAACAACTCGAAGGGTTCATCGCTCCTGGACAGGAGAAAAAGGTGTGTAGGCTTATCAAGTCATTA